AAGTTCTTTGTTCCAATATGTCGTTGCCTCACGAATCGCCCTCTGAACGTCTCGAATCTAGTCACAAATAATTCGATACATTCAACACAAATTATAGGAATTAATTCCATATGAAAATACTAATTTTCCAATAAAATCCGAAATTCAACTCAAAAATCGTTAGTGGGGCCCATGTCTCGAAACCCGATAAAAGTTATAAAATATGAACTCCCATTCAACCACCAGTCCAACCATACCAAATTTACCAAATTCCGACATCAACTCGACCTTCAAATCCTCAAATCCTATTTTCAAATCCCTAGGCCCAAATCCTCAAATTACACCTCAAAAACACGTAATCTAGTTGGAATAATCAATGATAATTCAATATTATTGATTAACAATGATCACAAGTGACTTATCTCAAGAATTTTCGTGAAATATTTCTACAACATCGCCCCAAACTGTGTGTTTGAAGTCAAAAAATGAGAAAGAACCTCAGAACCCCTCGTTTTAACACTGCTAGTGTTTTCGCATCTGCGAAATTTTAACCACTTTTGCGCAACCGCTTCTACGGCCTTTCTTCCGCTTTTGTGCCTCCTTCGCTCCTGCGGACAAGAGTCTGCTTCTGCGGACAAGAGTCTGCTTCTGCGGACTCGCTTATGCGGACTCACTTCTGCGGTCCAACCTCCAAATCCCCCTTCCGCTTATGCGATAGACCTTCCGCATCTGCGAGCTCGCAAATGCGGCACCCCCTTCGTACCTGCAATCGCCAGTACCCATCCAAACTCGCATATGCGATGCCTTAGATGCTTTTGCATGATCGCACCTGCGAAAAAAACCCTCGCATGTGCGATTGCACAAGAACTAAAGCTTCATCATCTCCTAAGTCCAAATTCTCAACTCGAATTCAATCCGAATCAAACCCGCTTCAACCAAATATACCAACAAGTCCTAAAATATTTTACGAACTTAGTGGAGGACTTAAATCATATCAAACAATGCTAAAACTACGAATCGCACCCCAATAAAATTTAACAAATTCAAACATCTACATTCGATGCCGAAACCTATCAAATCAAGTCCGATTGACCTCAAATTTTGCACGCAAGTCATAAATGACATAACGAACCTATAAATTTTTTAGAACTGGATTCCGACCCCGATATCAAAAAGTCAATTGCTGGTCAAGCTTCCAAACTTTCAATTCCTATTTTCGCCATTTCAAGCCTAATTTAACTACGAACTTTTAAATAATTTTTCAGATACACTCCTAAGTCCAAAATCACCATACAAAGCTATTGGAATTATCAAAACTCTATTTCGGGGTCGTTTACACATAAGTCAACGTCCGGTCAACCTTTTCAATTTAAGTTTTCATCCTTGAGACTAAGTGTCTCAATTCATTCCGGAACCAAACCAACTATCCCGGCAAGTCACATAACAACTGTAAAGCACAAAATAAGCAGTAAATGAGGGAACATGGATGTAACTCAAAACGACTGGCTGACTCGTTACAACATTTGAGATTAAGAAAAATATAAGATGTGTTTGACTTTATGCTACTATCATCTGAACTCTTCTTTTAGACTATAAGAACAGGCATTTCTTTACAACTTACAACTGAATATTTTGTAAGCAGTTGATATTATCTAATATTTGGGACGAAATTAAGTATAAAAGAAAGGCAAAATAGTTAAAATTTGACGAAATCAGAGGGAAAAAATATTATTTAAATGTTGGTGTTTCGTGGTTTTCCGTTGTACGTGCTTACATGAAGTGAAGAGATCCAAATGGTATCTTTAGTTTATTTATTTTTTAATTGAGAGAGTTATACTTCCATTCCTTCTCTAATTAAGAAATATTGGGGATCCTTTAGTTTAGAGACTAAGTATATGAATTATAATGCAAAGATATTTACGCAGGAATTAATAATGAAATGATTGTTATACACTGATAATATGAAGTGATTGTTATATATAAATTACTTACTTCAAAAGAACATTTTATCTTTACACATTTTAAGCATTGCTAATATACTTTTTTTTAAAACATTTTCTATCGTATAGATAATAAATAGAATTTCGAATATCTTAAAAACACAAGCATTACTTGATGGACAACATACAAAATTGGCCAGTCAGCCGAAACTGATTGTTCGCTAGCAAAAAAATACACATATATAAAAAAAATATACATTTTGTCAGCTATTATTTTTTTAGAACGGGTAGATATATATACTTTTCTTATTTAGTGCCATCAATTAAAATACTATTTTAATTATGTGACGATTATTGTTTAGTGGGCACTTGTTAGTATATATTTTATGCAAGATTTTTACTAGAATTAATTAATTCAACCATTAACCCCAAAGAATATCTGGCACTGGATTCGGAATCCCTCACGAGTCACGTCTCTTATCTTCATTTTTATATAGGGTAGACACACGTGTCCCTACTTGCATGGTCAAAGTTGAAATATTGTCACAATAAGAATTAAAAGCCACATATCTGATTTATTAGGCACAAGTTTAAAGAAAAAATAAAAACTTTTAAATTATATTGTACTACAATATTTCTGCTTTATTTTTTGTTTGTAAAAAAATAAAATAAAAAGTTTAAATTAAACTATTATGGTTACATAAACTGAAAAATAAACATACGACGACACTCTAAAAGAGTAAGGATCTATTATCAATTTTTAACCCTGTTTATCATAACACCTCACATTTATAAATATAAAATTATAAATATATATGGTTAGTAATAAAATAAAAAAGTTAAGTTAAATTATTTTTAAATTTAGTGGGCTTTTGGATATAAAAATTGTAAAATTTCGAAAAAAGTGAAAAACAATTTCAAGTAAAAATGGTATTTGTAAATTAGAGTTTTGTTTGGATATGAATATAATTTTGGGTTGTTTTTTAATTTTTTTAGTGATCTGGAGTGAAAATTTTAAAAATAGCATTTTAGAATTTTTAATTTTCAAAAAATTTTGAAAATTATCTTCAAGTTAAAACTGAAAATTTTATGGCCAAATACTAATTTCGAAAAAAAGAGAAAAAAAAATTGGAAAAAAGGATTTTTTTTATGGCCAAACGGACTTTAGAAATGAGTCATTTTATATGAAATATACTAAAAAGGAAATCAAAGAGTAATAATAAGGAGTGTTATTTTCAATTTTAACCCTGTTGGTACTGAACATCTAGCTTCTATATATACTAGCGGAAGTAAAGCCCGTACTGTCGCACGGGCCCAACACTGCAATAAAAATTGTTATGAAAGAAGAATATTCTAATATTATAGTAATATTTTAACTGGTATTTTCATAGAATATATCCTGTAAATAATTTTTATTTTTAATCAATATTCTCAAGTATTAAGGAAAAATTTCAAAATATTTATCTGCTTAGCTATTGAATATCTACTACTTGAATATCCTTAACGAGTCAACTTCCTCGAGATTGAACATCATATACCAATCTCTAATTCAATAATTTTAACTATTTTTTTAGATATAGTTATTATATTTAAATTTTGCGTATGATATTAAAAAAATATAAATAATAAGTGAGTGTAAAAAATATTTTTCGACGGAATATTAACACAAGTTTCCATCATTTCTTATTTTTGCAGGATAGCCAAATCAGTTTCAAACGGTAGTAATGCAAATAGACATAATACTTGCAACTTAAGAAGTAACTAAATTAAAATGTGTAAATTATCGAGTTTTTCCATAATATATATTCTAGTGATTTAGTCCATTATTTAGGGTAAATAGCAAATAAAAATTAAATTAATAACTAAATTAGTACTTAGCTTAAATGTTAGTATTTAAAAATAAATAAACTCATTACAATGTAAGGGTTAATAGGTTAGAGATAATATCATAAAAGTTAAATTAGAACTAATTTTAAAGTTGTAAAATTAATGTAAAATTTTACAATAAATTTTATTTACATGATATTACTTTTATTAGAAAAAAGGTATGTACATTCCTTCATATTGAAAGAATTGGCGCCCAAATAATTGTACTACTATTTGAAAGCATTACAAACTACTTAAATTGCAAAATGTTATAATATTGTATTTAGTTTCTTTCATGAATTTATAATGTTTAAAGTTTTAGATGAATATAAATATTAATTATTAACTTATTGACATAATTTGAACTTAAACCTAGCATATATTTATATGTAAAAATTATTCTTTATTTAGTGAATTTATTATGTTATATTTTTTATTTAGTGAATTTATTCTGCTACATTATTTTTACTTAGTGAATTTATTCTGCTAGATTTTTTTATTTAGTGAATTTATTCTGCTACTTCAAACTTAACTATTGATTTAACATATTTGCTATTCAAACTCAGCAATTAGTTATCTATTAGGTCCTATTGCGTAAAACTTACATATTTAATTGAATTCAAATACATTTTTTTTTCAATTTCTGTGCTTGAGATAAATGAGCTGCCAAATATACTTGATTTAGAAAATCTTAGATTTGATTGAAGTATTTGTATTATGTGCTTATAAACAGATGCAATTTTCAAGGAATAGTGGTATGACAATTTGTACTTTGCATATGTCCCAAAGGGACGACCTAGTTGGGTTTGGAGGGAGTTGTCCCACTCGAGTGACGAGGGTTCGATACCATTCAATGTCCTCTGAGTTTGAATCTGTTGTACGAGATTTATTTAATCCGTGAGATATATAGTTTGCAAGTTATTACACAATGTATAATAGTGCTCAAACGAGCCGAAAAATTTGTACTTCCCATACATGGAAAAGTCTTGGGTAAATATGTGTTCAAATTGTTCACTAAAATGTGGGTCCCAAGTTTTGTACTGTGCATTAGTGGAGAGAAAGTAGGCTTTGAAAATGCCTCAAAAGTTCCCTTTATTGTGTGATGGCAGTTAATGTAAGAATATCGAAAAACAGGGGTAAATTTGTACAGAACCACTACCTAGCATGATATATTTGTGAATTGCGAAACTCAACTAAACTAAACTAACTAATTTCTTCAGCAATTTGCAATTAATGGCGAGTGTGGAGGAAGGTCCATTGCCATACAATTTATGGGAAGGGGAGAAGAGCAGCTCGTCGAATTCGAATCCAACAGATGCAGTTATATTTGCGGGAATCAGTTTGTTAATAGGAGTTTCATGCAGAACTCTCCTTCGCCGTACTTTTATTCCTTACACTGTCGTTTTGCTCATCATTGGCACCGCCCTCGGCTCTCTCGGTATGTTTTATGTATAAATGTATGTATGTATTGCATATGCGGATACAGTATTTAAATTGTATGAGTTCTAAGTTTAAATACTAGCGGAGGCAAAAAGTACTACTCCTAGTAAGCGATTACTTTCCATCTGCTTGTAAGCGTTAGTGGATAGAGTTACACGGTACCTATGTTGGTGGAAGGTAGCAAGCACCCGGTGGAATAGTCGAGCTTCGCACAAGCTGGTTCGAGCACCACGGTCATAAAGCAAAAAGTAGAAATTACTATTGGCCATATCTCATTTGCAAGGTGTGGCTGACTAATATTTTCCTTGTCTTCTATGTCAACCGTTGGCATAGATTTTTTCATACATGTAATATGTTCATGGTCTTGTTATTGTGGTTGAGGGCATGCTTTGTGCAATTCTTTCCCTGATTGTTATTACTGCTCCAACGGCATGTAACATTTTCTTATGGACATGAACTAGCATTTCTGGACCTTTTAAAATTTTAGATCTGTTCTCTTTTCTCAAATGTCCTTGTTGTTTGAATGCCTACTGGAATGTTGTGGCATCTAGCTGTTCTCATATTTTTGTTATTTATTTCTTTACTTAATCTTTTGCAAATTTAGAATTTGGGAGTAATTATCCACTGGGAAAGCTTGGGAATGGAATTCGAATATGTAAGTATAATTCAGTTATCTCTCAAATTTCTTGAAATTATCAATTTTGAGGATTGACTTAAAATTGTTGCATTAGGGATTATCTCTCATTATCCTATAAAGGTATGTGCTTTATTGAATTGCTGCAACAGGTGCAGATATAGATGCTGATCTTCTATTAGCTGTATTCCTCCCTATACTGATTTTTGAAGGCGCATTCTCCATGGAGGTGCACCAAATAAAGGTTCTCTTCTCCTTAGTTTTTATTCTATAAAACCTCAAGCCTAGTTATTGAATGTATAGGATGGTTTACTATTGGTCATAATACCACCACCAGGAATTCAGAAGTAATTCGGTGTAGTCTGTCTTTTTACTGGACTCCATATTCTTCTTAATATTGGAGAGAAATCATGGAGAAGTGTAAACAAGCTTCTAGTATATTTGTTAATAAAGAAGATTGGTGGTGTCTTCCCACTAAGTCTTGGTGGTAGAGTTATCAAGTACCTATGTTGGGGGAATAGAGGTACTCTAGTGGAATAGTCGAGGTGGATTCAATTTGGCCCAGACACCATCGTAATCAAGAAAAAAAAGACAAGAAAAAAGGAAGATAAACGAGAGTTCTTGGTGAAATGGGGTAGTGTGGCTAAATAGTTATTAATTCTGATCAAAGCTCATAAATATATAGGGGACTGAATCCCTCATCTGCAAGATGATTGAGAACGTTATATCTTCTTACAATTGGACTGCTACATAAGTTTATAACATCAATAGCATGGTCTTGTTTCATAGTTAAGAAAAAAAAGCAGATATATGTAAAGATATGCTGAAATAATGACGCCTTTCATCTTAAGGAAAGCAGGTAGCTCTTACTTTGATAGCCTGAATGTATGCTTTAAATAATTATGTATGCCATTTGTCAGTTTTTATGAGTTAATGGAATATGTCTGTTCATTTCTTTAGCTGGCTTTGACAGAAATGTATGGCACAAATGCTTTTGCTTGCTGGTCCTGGTGTACTGATTTCAACTGTTCTGATCGGTGCTGCTGTGAAGGTATAAGGAAACACTGTTTTCTGGAAGTGGTTTCGTACTTGCTCAAACATTCATATGTTTCTGCAGCTTGCTTTTCCATATGACTGGAATTGGAAAACATCATTATTGTTGGGGGCAATTCTTAGTGCTACTGATCCTGTGGCTGTTGTCGCGCTGCTTAAAGATCTGGGAGCTAGTAAAAAGTTGAGCACAATTGTTGAAGGAGAATCTATGATGAATGATGGGTATAAACATAAATCCATTTTCCTTTCATTTCTTCGGGAAAATCCTCTTGGTTTTCCCTATAATTTCATATTCATGTCCACATTTTTGGATGGCCAATTTTTCCACATAAAAGTGCCATCAGCCCCTTATTCTGTCTTGCAGTTTATCTTCCTCTTTTGTATACACTGATTCTTATTGTTCACCTCTCTTCCTCTGACCATGTTGCCAGGGCAGCTATTGTGGTTTACCAGCTTTTCTATCGAATGGTTCTTGGGAAAAGCTTTGGCTGGGTTGCAGTGCTGGAATATCTTGCACAAGGCTCACTTGGAGCGTAAGGATCATTATCTGGTTGGCTGATAACTTTTTGTATTGTTTTGGGTGAACTTAACTAGATCTTTTATTGTTACAGTGTCATCATCGGACTTGTGTTTGGAATGGCATCTCTTTTCTGGCTTCGGTTTGTATACAATGATACATTGATAGACTTTTCATTGGCTCTTACCGTGAGCTACATTGCTTACTACACAGTATGTTCCGTCCTGATTTAGATCATTTTTTATACACATGCATTCAATTCTTTGACATACGATTCCGAAGCGCGACCTTGTAGAATCATCATATTTTCTGACAACATTTATGCATGCATGATAATGATCATATTTCGGTGATAACATTTTGACATACTTGATTTAAGTGATTCAAGAGTTAAAAAAAGTGATCCAAGTTCATATGTGATGACATCTTCAGTAATCTAAGATCTTTGTCCTGCTTCATTCTACATATTTTGGTAAATTTACCACGTAAATGGTGTCATCAAATCTTTTCAGTAGTAGAAACATCTTCGCTACTACTCTATACTAGAAAGGCTGACAAATTCCAAAACTTGTTTACTTGCTAATTCAAGCAGACACTGTACTATGTTGTATGACTGCTTTTGCCTTAGCTTCTTGCTAGCTCCATTGAAGTCCTATGTGTTTGTTTCAATGCCATCCTTACTGACCTTAACTGGATCTTTAATGCCTTATTATTGCTTATAGGCTCAAGAGCAAGCTGAAGCTTCTGGTATCTTGACTCTTGTAGCACTTGGGATGTAAGTTCTGTACTTCACTCCTCTTTCACATTCAGACGTTTCAGCAGTAAAGCGTGTTTCAGTCTCTGATACTGAAACTTATGGATAGGGTTTTCGCAATGTCAAAGGATACCCATACAGCTGGTGGAAAGCAGAGCTTGCATGAGTTTTGGTATGTTTCTTCCCATTGTAATATCATGTTAGCTGAATATAGATTTATGTAACAAACCAAAGTATAGTGTGATCATTATTGTGCAGATTCAAGCATTGCCAATACCTAGCTGTGGCTCTCTTTTGTTGAGATAGTGTTACGTATGATGTCTTCTATGTGAAGGCATAGTTAACAGATGTATCTAGGGGAATATTTTGTCAAAATCAAAAGGTTGGAGTACATATGGTTTTAAGCTAAAAGGGAAGGTTCATAGTCAAACCTAAGGTCTATAACCTTTACACTGGATCAGAGCCAGACCCATCTCAATTTTTGGTTGATCCATGTTAGATTATCCAAGCTCAGATGTGCAGAGAGGGTGCTGATACAAATGGAGTGTTGTTTCCTTATATGGTCTTTGTGCAATCCCTGTCCTCGTGAGCTAGCTTTGGTGTTGAGTTAGATCCAAAATCCATTTTTCTAAAGGTCCTGAGTTCAGTCTCACTGGCATGCATTACCAGAAACAGAATCTGCAAGTGGCCGATGACAAAGGATCGGGCCTGCACATGAGGGGGCGTGATGAAGGCATAATTAAGTAATTAAAAAGAGTGCTCTTTATAGCAGTTTAAACTATTAGATGAGATTGTCCCACACTTCAACAATGTTTAATATTTAAATGTATACCCTTTTGTGATTAATACGGAGCTCCATTAGTGAGGGTGTGAAGAAAGTCTATTGAAAATAGAAAAAAGACTATGTAAAATGGCACTTATCCAGGTTCATTGGTGAAATTTAACTTTCCTATGGCCTTTTATGGTGATAACTAAAAACATTCTAGGAGGTAAATTGCTGGTGCTCAAGTTCAAGGGGTTTGAGCATGTCAGGAAAAAGGTAGGATGGTGTGAGCTGACTTTCTCTGTCACAATTTAAACACGTCTAAATATAGGCTTTTCTGCTAAATGAAACTGAGGGAGTAATAAGCACTCCCTCCTATCCCATCTTATGTGAAGGCGTTTTATTGGGCACAAACTTTAAGAAATAAACGAAGACTCTCTACATGTTTGTCAAGTATATGCAAAGTACTGAATTATCCTTTTAAATAAGTGGTGGTGAGAGTTCCACATGTCTTTTCATTTTCTCTTTCCTTATAAGATAATGAATTTTTGCATCAAGTACAACAATAACAAGAACCCAGTGAAATCCCACTAGTGGGGTCTGGGGAGGGTAGTGTGTACGCAGATCTTACCCCTACCCCGAAGAGGTAGAGAGGCTGTTTCCGAAGACCCTCGGCTCAATAGGACAAAAAGACAAAAGGAGATAATATCAGTATCACCACAAAAATCATAGGAAAAATAGGAACAACATGAAATCCAGAAGAAAGATACAAAGCAAAAGCGATAGCTAGTAAATAGGTCCGGCACTGAAACGCAAAATAGTAAGACACGACATTGCCACTAGCTAGCTTAGACAAAAACCCTACCATACTAGTCTCGCAACGGTACGAAGTAAGGCAAGACTCAACTACCTCCTAGCCTACAACCCTAATACTCGACCTCCACATCTTCCTATCAAGTGCCATATCCTCGAAAATCTGAAGCCTCGCCATGTCCTGCCTGATCACCTCTCCCCAATACTTTTTCGGTCGCCCTCTACCTCTTCTCGTGCCCTCCACAATCAGCCGCTCACACCTCCTTATCGGAGCATCTGGGCTCCTCCTTTGTACATGCATGAACCATCTGAGCCTTCCCGCATCTTGTCATCAATTGGAGCCACACACACCTTCTCCCGAATATCATCATTCCTAATCTTATCCATCCTAGTGTGCCCGCACATCCACCACAACATCCTCATTTCTGCTACTTTCATCTTCTGGATA